AACGACATAAAACCGCAAATGATGCAGTGACTACTCATAAATACTCGTCTCGTACAACCTTTCATAACATCTATTTGTGGTTGATAGTAATCGAAGTTTGGAGGAAAAGATAAACCCTAAGTTGAGTGGCGGTTCCACATTAAAAAAATTTATAGTGACTATTGACAAACTTTAATTTGTTTATGCCCAAATGAAGTTATTCAGAGCCGACAAAATAAAGGTGTAAATCCAAAACCAAGCGTAACAAATTGGATGCTTTTTAAATGAAGAAGACACGTGTCACTCTCTCAATAAATGAATTAGTAACATGGAGAGTCCAAAAGAGAGGAAAATATACTTTATGTAATAAGAAGATATATACCCAAATACTACAAAAGCTAAACAAATCTATTTTTAGGCTAATCATATATTTTCTTCAGTTCTCTAATATGTATATATAGGACAATTCTCTCAAATAGATCTTTTTAAGTTTTTATCACAAAAATAGATTTCAAAAACTAAAATGACCAAAATAACATTTTTTATTTTAAAAATTTTAAATTTTATTTTTATTTTTATTTTGTAAATTTGAAATTATATCCCTAAAATTTTACTACTCAACTCTAAACAAAAAGATCTATGATTAGTTAACCAAAAGGGTATAAGTATATATTTATTTATTTTTGATAAAATATTTAAATCTATTTTGGTATTTTTATTTTTAAGGTCTATATTTGTGACGAACAATTTTTTAGGTTTATCCTAGAAAATTAAACCTAAAAAATTCATCTTATAAATATGTGCATTTTAGGTGTCATGAAATGATATTTGATAAAAAAATGATATTTGATTCAGACAAGGGAATACAATACATTTGGAGATAAGACAAAGGAATTCATATAGCTGTCACAAACCGGAGACCTTCTTACATTTTTTTATATTTTGTTTTTATTACATATATACATGTAATGAAAGAAGAATAAGAAATGACATACTTATTTATATATTAATCAAATATTGCAGTTTATTAGTCCCCTGCCCTTAATTAGTAGTAGCTAGTTTGAAAAGTTACATTACTTTATTATGCCAACTTTTTTGTTAGTGTAAAATGATAGTGACAACTTGACGCCATTTGAATTCGAACTTGCAGCCTAGACTTTGGCTATGATTCTGTTTTCCTTTTTGGTTGAAGAATGTCAAATGACTTTTAAAATGTCATGCTGGATAAGAGAGTCAGTTTCTTTTAACTTTGTGACATTATACCGTAATTATCTTTTGTCTTCTTGATCCCTCTCTTTTTATCTCTTTCTACAGTTAACCAATGTCCACAGTTGTATCAACCTCACGTGTCAGATTTGTGTGTTTTTACTATAGTTATTTAAGGAAGACACTGAAGGAATTTATTTAGTAAACTATTTGACTGGTAATGAAGCCTTTTTAAAGGAAAGTGACGTCATAATCGGTTTTGCAGTCAGTTTATAGTTAGTATATACATACATTAGTCATGCTTAAATGTTTAGAGCAACCCTATCCATTAGAACCCTTAAGAATATCTCAAAGAAAAAAATATTACTATCTTAATCAAATAAAGTTTTAATGTAAAAAGAAATTGAACTAATCTATGAAATAAGTGTTTTATGGAGTTCTCATAAGTATCTCAGAAATTCTAGTTTGATACTTATCTCATTTTCACTCTTATTTTTTAATTTTTCCTTTGGAGTGAGCTATGCATTTGAAAACTTTTTATTAGAGGTGCTCTTACAAAATAAAAATTATATGATATTATCACATATGGAAGGGGAACTGATGTTTTTTTTTTTTTGAACTATAAAGGGGGGAACTGATGATGTTAACACATGAACTAAGTACTGTGCAATTCTATCACTTTTAGTTATTGTGGTGGACGTTTTTTGTTGTAATGTGTGATCACTTGACTATTTTTCGCGATGATTGTAACCAGTGGCGAAGCCAGCTCTGAAGTGAGTCAGTTGATCCAGGTGAGTTTTGTATATCTCAAAATTTTACCTGTATTTAAGAAAAAAACTGTGAAAATATTATAAATATAGCTTATTGACTCTTGTAAAATATATAAATACTGAAATTGATCCTCCTAATAAGCCTGGCTGGCTCCGCGACTGATTGTAACTCCGTTCTCATACAAAAATGCGTGGACACAAGTCCATAACACGGTTAATACACAGCAGTACTAATATATTGGAAGAGACAAAATCTCCTTTGCATATGAAATATTGATGTCTCAAACTCTCCTGCTCACGTCCCTTTCTCTCTACTAACTTCTCTATGGGCAACGCTAACGTTTACTTGTCATCTTTAAAGATTAAAAGGTTTTTTAACTATCTTATATTGTCAAATTGTGCATGTGAACCTTGTTGTACTTCCCCAAGTAAATGTCACGTGAGTGCCATTTCTTGGCAAATCCGAGCAATTAAAAGCCTACATATCTATCTTTTAAATTTAAATTAATTGAAATGCAGAAAGCAGACTGTAAAAGTAGAAGAATATGAGAAATAGTAGGATATGCATGAGTAGGCTATCCGTCAGAAGAAAGGGTTTGTCTATATTGCAGAGTGTTATTTTGTGAAGATGTATAATCAGCACACATGTGAATTGATAGGTACTTTGTATGTTCTTGTGGAATAAATAGACAACACCATATTCTCGACTCATGACATTATTATAGCATAGACGCGCATACATATAAGCATATGCCTCATGTACAATTTAAATGTTTAAACCGGCATGTGTAGTAATCAAGAAAAAAAACTTGGTGTAAATAGTATATGATATCTTTCCTGCTTTGCTAAAGTATATCCAGTTTTAAGAGCATGATTATTGCAGGTCCCTTAAGCTGGGTCCCTTAGCGTACAGTCTCTTAGTTTTTAACTGAAAACGCTAAGGGACGTCCCTTATATAAGGGATTTAAGGGACGTCCCTTAGCGTTTTCAGTTAAAAGCTAAGGGACCGTACACTAAGGGACCCAACTTAAGAGACTTGCAATAAACATGGTCTAAGAAGATTTTTTTCATCTACGTGTTAAAATTCGGCGTTAGTACTAACTGAATTTTGCTTGCATAATTTAGTGTTACCATAAAATTATCACATTGTAATTATAAGGTCGTGGTATTATTTTACAATAAAAAGTGAAAAGTAATAGGTCGTCGTGATCGTGCGTAGGTGCTGTTAAGAATGTCATGTATGTTTTATGTCTTCATGCACATATATAAGGTTCATATACATATTGTAAGATGTATAAATGTATATTATATAAAAGCATATATATGTGTATATATACACACACAACAATTAGATGTTGGGTAGTGAGCAATAAGAGTGATGAGAGGAACTCATAAATATCCCGTGAAGAGTGTTTGGAGGCATTCCAAAATCACAACAACATTCTTCTGTTTGCTTTTATCCTCTTCCTTCACTTCTTTCGATGCTCCTACTTCAATAATTTATAAATATGTATAAATATTTTAAAGTTTTGTTTCCTCCAGCTCCATTACGAGCTCACTGTTCCCTTCTTCGTTTTTACTTTTGTCCTCTACTCATTTCTTGAACCTTATATACTCAAAAATCGATCACGCACACTTGTATATAAAACTGTGAAAAGAGTTGTCGATACCAATTAAAACGAGACAAGGACGATAAATTTAGATTATAAGCATACGAATCAGTTCTCACCAAAACTGAAACTGGTTAAAAAGATCCACATCGGTAGTTTAAAAAGATCAACAATGATATGTAGGAGATTTGGATCAGTCGATTTATTGCCAGTTAGTTTTAACCTCTAATTTAAAAGCTTATGAAACTTAACAAGATATGAAAGTCATTTTGTTGACTCCAACCAAAGTGACTCTATTACCAGTTTCTAAAGTAGAATTGGGTTAACTGATAAGAATCTTCATCTCAAAGAGGCATGGTGAGATCCTATATCAGAAGTTTAAAGAAATCAAGACTTGAGTAACTTCATTTAGCACCAATTGGTTTTATATTCGATGAAACTTAATCGAAGCTGTGTGTTAAATAATTGGCTACAACCATTATTTTGTTAAGAAATCAATGTGTATATATGCTACTACGAAATGACATAGTTAATGGTTTCCACTTTCCACTAGATTATTTTAGATGTATTATGTATTTTTTAGTTAGTTACCATTTGAAGGCATATAGTTAACCTAAATATATTTTCACATAAATTGCAATTTATATAGTTAAATATATATGTCTAACATGGAGATACTTTTTTGATGCACTACATGGAGATACTTTCTAATTTAACCAAATATTTTTGGAGATACTAAACACTTGATGTGTGCGAGATGGTTTCCTTTTCCTTTCCTTTTTTTTTGTTGCTAAAGTGGCTTCCTTTCCTTTTTTTTATTACAAGAAAAATAATCAACATGATCTTTAAGATCCAACATACTATATGGTTTCCTTTTCATTTTAACAGAAAAATATAGTATGTTGGATCTTAAAGGTCATGTTGACTGACTGATTGTACAGTAAAACTTCTATAAACTAATATTCGATAAATTAATATGCATTAAATATCACTATAAAATAATATAATTTTATAGTCCTAAATTGAGTTTTTTGGTTCGATTAGTATATCGATAAATTAATATATCTTTAAATTAGTAAAAAAATAAAATTTTGATGTAGTCGAAACATTATTAATTTATAGAGGTTTCACTGTATTTCTAACGTTTTATCAATAATTGTTTCTAGATACAAGATCATTACATCAACAATTACCCTCACATACGTGTTGATACATATTTATTTTCGTAAGTATTCTCACGTAAGTATAAATTGAATATATACATATACATATACATAATATGGAATAACGTGTAACGTAACTAGACATATATAGAGGCAATCAAGCAATTCACGAGATACCAAAGGATTTGTCCGTATGTATCACATTCTGTAGCAATGAAGAGATCAGAATATAAGGCAGACATGTGAGAGACGAGAAGTTCCTATAAACATTGAAAAAATTTTGGTCTAATATTCTCTTTCTTATTTACTATATATATACGAGAAACAGTAGAGGAGGAGAAGCTAAAATTTGAAGAATGGTTTCGAGGGAATACAACAGAGATTCCTCTCTTCGTGAAAAGTTTCAACTGCTTCGTTCAATCACTAACTCTAATGCTGTAACTAGATTCAGTCACTCTCTTTTTAACTTTGTTTCCTATTTTGATATGATTCGATCTCTATATATTATATATTATTTATATTCATAAACTAATTCAGTCGTACTAATTTATATATGGAGCATAAATAGTATATACTCCGTTGATCATATTCAAATGTGAACGTATAAACCAATTTAGTCGTGATCTCTATGACTCTATCTTCATTCGTTAAGAGATCAAATTTTACTCCTTTTCATTGTATGTGATATACTTTTTGGGATATTGTTTCTGGCAAATCAATTAGTGATATTTGTTGTTTGATTTTTTTTTGTCTATCTCAATATATAGTTAGTTACTTACTTCGTCCTAACGATAATCAACTATATATTCATAACAAGATATATAAAAGAACCAAAATATGCTAACTGAAATTGGGAATTTTCTTAGACTAAACTTGATATCACACGTTTTGCAGGAAAGCGAAACCTCGATCATAATGGATGCATCTAAATATATCAAAAAGCTTAAGCAGAAAGTTGAAAAAATCAACAATGAGACCACGTCTGAGCAATATGATACTACCGATCCAATGGTATATAAATATATGTACTCTTTGAGCCTTTGACGCATTTACATTAAAAGTCTGATTGGTTGGCAATTTTAGTGAAAAAATGGGAGTAAAAAAATATAGTTACTCAAGTTCTCGTTATTCTTTGCCAATCGGGTGAAAAGTACAACAAATTGTTTACTCTCATTTTCGCTGTCAATAGTTGTTTTTGTATTCTTGTTCCATATTAATATTATTACCTTCTTTTTGTCACAGAGAAACTGAGAGTAATACATAAATTATTTACTCCAATATTTTACCAATCACACCCTAACATGCTTCGATTGATTTTGGGGGTTTTGTACTGACAATAGGTTAGAGTGGAAACCCTCGAGAAGGGATTCATGATAAAGGTAATGTCAGGGAAGAATGAGGCAGGCTTGTTGGTTTGTGTTCTTGAAGCCTTTGAATATCTTGGACTTGAAGTTGTTGAAGCTAGGGTTTCATGTATGGACTCATTTAGCTTACATGCCATTGGTTCATCACATGTAAAAACACTAATCGCCCTTAATCATCAATATATATCAGTATCATTTATCACTAAAGATTAATATAAATAATTTTTGTATATAATCTGAATTGATCCCAGAATGATGATGGTGAAAGCATGGATGCTGAAGCAGTGAAACAGGCAGTTGTAGTGGCAGTCAGGACCTGGAGTGATAGCCATGATCCAAAAGGGTAGAGACAGGTCAAATGTTGATGATTGTATCTCTCTCTATATATTTCTACATTTGTTTAACCTACAAGGGATTTTAGTTAGACATTCAATCAAGAAGAGGTTCAATTGTATGTCTCTCTAATTAATCAAATTTCTAAAGTAAATTTCTTTGGCATCAAGTTCATAAATTCATTACCAATGTGTGAAAACTCGTATAATTTAAGTAAAAATAAACATTCAGAACCTAGAAGGTCATTTTTCTGTCGTTTCTTAATATATTATGTAAGTAATTTTTAGGGCTGGACAAAAAATCCGAACCCGAAAAATCAAACCGAACTCAATCTGATAAAGTAGTACCGAATTCGAACCGAAATTGGTTAATTATCCGAACGGATTTGGTATCCAAAGAACCGAAACCGAATCCGATCCAAACCGAAATATTCTGGGTACCCGAATAGATCTGAATCAGATTTATGATTTGAATATATTAGTTACTTTTAGGTGTAATATCGAAAAAGTATAAAAATGTATAAGATATTTTTGAGGTTGTCCAAATATATTTGAAAATATATAAAAATAGTCAACAGTAAATATTTAAATTAGTTAAACAATACACAAAATACGGTCAATTTAAAAAAGATAATTGATTTTCCATTTAAATATTCAAGTTATATCAAATTTTATGTTAAGTTAAAGTATTTTAACATACATTACTCAAATTTATATGTTAAATATCATTTTTTTAGGTTTAAAAGATATATGAATTTTTTAAATAGTTTAAACGGGTTATCCAAATCCAAACTGAACCCGCAAAGATTCGAACCGAATCCGAACCAAAATTTATGAATACCCGAATAAAACTGAAATCTCTTACCCCAAAAATCCAAAATCCGAATAGATCCGGATCGAACCCGGATGGATACCCAAATGCCCTTCAAATATTACTTCTTTCTTTTTTACTCGATATCTAAAATATCATCCTCATCATCAAGAATAGTTCCCACATTTATTTGATGAACGTATATTCCTCATGTCCAGACACATTGTTGACAATATGAAAAGTCCCAACACCACATCCCTTTCTTATTAATAGAGAAATATTTTGGGAGATTAACCTTTAATATGTAAACTATTTACATTCATGCCATGCTGAGGTGGCAGCCTCACAAAGGTTCTCAACCTAAATAATTAATTTACTTTTGTTTACTAGACTATATACATAATACAGTGAAACCTTTATAAATTAATAAGGTTGAGATTAAACCAAAACTAATTTTTTAAATTAATTTATACTCCATCCGTTTTATTTTAGTTATCATTCTAGGTTCTTGCACACAAATTAAGGAAACATTTAATTTTACATATTTTCAAGATAAAAATACAGTTATCTATTCACCTAATCACTTTTCAACCAATAGAAAATAGAATATCATATAAAATTAATAAATTTTTCCTTGAAACTTTAAAACGACACTTCTTTTAAAAAGAATTTTTTTCTCTAGAAAAACAATAATTCGAAATAGAGAGAGTAGATATTATTAATTTATCGATATAAGAATTGAACTAAAAAATTAATTTGAAACTATAAAATTATATTACTTTATAGAGATTTTTAGTATATATTAATTTATAAAATATTAATTTAAAGAGGTTATACTGTATGCCACTATCATTCAACCTACACAATTAACTAATCATATTTATGTCACATATGTAATGAGCAAAAGAAGGAAATTATTATATAACCTAAGTAATGAACAGAAAACTTTAGCCTTCGAATATGTCTTCTTCTCATTGGCCATTCTTACTACCTCACTCTCGCCTACAAGTTAATCACAAAATTAAGTTAGATGAGATATGACATAACCAAAAGAGCACATATATAAGCCACTGATTTAGATACTTATGCTTATAAATACTGTGAACACGAGGAAGTAGACTGTAAAACAATTTCATATTAACATAAATATTTTCTGTATTGACAATTTACATACGTTTTCGTAGCAGTCATTTTGTGAGCATATGCTAACTTAATTTAAAATACACGATATGAATCATTGCGTATGACAAGATACCTGTTGAATATCTTTGATCACATCCAATTTAATTATTTAGCTGATGCTTATGAGAAGCACTCATACTAATTGACCATACTCAGTAAAACGAGGACAATATTTTACTTTCATAAACACACATAAATTGGTGTTATCAATTGACACTCATATGTAAAGTTCACCTATATACACTACCAATATTTTACTTTCATAGAATACATAAACTGGTGACCAGTTCTTATACACCTGATATGTCCATTCGTATTATTTGGTTTATGGTTATCACAAACCGTAGTATAATAAGAACAATAGAATTAAGGGAAAAAAACTAGTTTAACCATGAATTATCGATTAATTACTAGTTTAACTCTAATTTTATTTTAATTATAAGTTTGTTTTTCATACCTAATTTACCCCTATTTCCTTTGTTAACAAAAAAACTAATTACGAAAATACCATTAATGAATTTTTGGAATATTTACGATTTTGCCATCCACAGACTTATTCATCTCACATTTTATGTAGTCACAAACTTAAAAATATTTTTATTTAGCCACAGATTTTTTTTAAAAGTTTATAGACTTAATAAGAATTTCACAGATTTGTTACAACAAGTATGTCATGTTTAGCCACAAACTTATCAAATTTTGCAAGCTTTAATTTATTTGGCCACATATTTACTTAATTTTAACAGATTTACGTAAGTTTTGATAGATTTAGTTTTTCTTTAGCCACAGATTTACTTGTTTTTAACAGATTTAATTCCGAGTTGACTGATTTATTATCATTCAGCCACAGATTTATTTAATTATGACAGTTTTAGTTAAGATTTGATAGATTTATTTTTTCTTTAACCACAAATTTGTTCAGATTTGACCGATTTAAATAGGTTTTGATAGATTTATCTAGTATTTGACCACAGATTTATCGTAATTTGACAGATTTGTTGAAAGTAAAGCGACAGATTTATTTATAACTTAGCCACAGGTTTTTTTTAATTCCCTTAACCGGCATGGTTATTGCAAACCAAATTAAAAGGTTTAGTTCTGAAATTTATTTCATATACCGGTAATTTAAATTAATTTAAACCAAACCGTTTCAAACCAGTCATAATTAGAATCAAAATCATATAAACCAAAATTTTTTAATTAAACCAAACAAAACTTAATTTAAACCAAAAAAAAGAAGCCCTAATCTACAAACACTCTTCACGTGAAGGTCTTCATCATAACACGTTAATGGCGTTAAGAGAGTAACAGTTTTTTTCTTCCTTTTCACTCATGGCACAAATAAAAATTGTTTGTGGTCATTGGATATTTGATAAAAACAAATGGTTATTTGGTGTTGAGTACAAGGTGAAGATTTTGTTCACCTGGTTATCAAAGAGTACAAGGTTAATGAGCAGATTTACGACGTCGAACTGAGCTACATGTATCCGAAAAAGGTTTTGGTGACGTTGCCGCAAAACACACCGCCTGTGGATATTAATAATCAGAGGCAATTTACTGGATTTTTGGAACAGCTAAAAACGGAAGTGATGCAAGTATGTCTCGAACTTAAGGAACGATTTTTGGAAGAAGACGAAGTTGCAAGTGATGATGAAGACGAAGGCTCCATATTTGATTATTGTGATGACGTAGATGGTGCATCTTCAGGTAAATCACCTCGTATGAAAGGTGGTTTTGCGTCTCCGAGCATTCCAGTAAAAAGGGGTAATGATCATGTTAAGGTAGAACTAGATGCACTTAATATAGCTGTTGGACAACGATATGACACGAAAGATGCATTGGAGACTAGGTTGAAGATCTTGTCAGTCCTTCATCAATTTGATTTCAGGGTAGATAAATCAGCGACAAATATATTAACGGTTAAGTGTTGGGTAAAAGGATGTACATGCAGAGTAAGAGCTACCACAGTTGGTGATTCTACTCAGTTTACCATCCATACACACGTTTCAGAACATTCATGTTCCGTTACAGTTCTTTCTGCCAGTGCCCGACAAGCGACTCCAGACATTCTCGCAGCACTATATACGAACTTTGTTGGAGGTGTGGATTCGAAAGTACTCCCAAAAATGTTGGAGAAGCCTTAAACCTGAGATTTGGTGTCAAGGTGCGTTATCTGAAACGACATGTTTATTATAATTATATTTTATCTTAGAACAAATTAATTAGTCTCATATGTTTTCGTTAAAAAATGGCAATTAGATGGATTATTGGAAGTCTCATCGAACACTTTTACGCGCAAGAAATATTGTTAGAGGTTCTGCGGAGAGTGGATACGCAGAGTTGCCTTCGTATCTATATCATATAAGAAAGGCAAATCCTGGGACTTTCACATGTTTGGACGTTGATGAGGTTAACAGATTCAAGTATTTGTTCCTTGCATTCAGTGCAAGTATATCTGGATTTCCCTACATGAGAAAAGTAATTGTCGTTGATGGTACATATCTCCAGGAAAAATATAAAGGAACACTACTAACTGCAACATCTCAAGATGTAAATTTCCAGATATTTCCTATCGCTTTTGCAGTTGTTGATACCGAAAATGATGATTCTTGGGAATGGTTCTTTCAACAACTAAACAAGGTGAATCCTGATGACGAAGAACTTGCCATTATTTCTGATAGACATAAAGCTATTGGTAATGCTATTGGAAAAGTGTACCCTAAGTCTAGTCGTGGAATCTGCACGTACCATCTTTACAAAAAATATATTGCTACGTTTCAGAGGCGGTGAAGCATTTAGATTGGTTAAAAAAGCTGCAAGTGCTTTCACACTGGCTGATTTTAATATAACACTTGAAGAGATTCAAGCCTTGAATCCAGGATTACATAAATATTTGGAAACTGCTGATATAAAAAAATGGGCTCGTGTGCATTTCCCTGGGGACAGATACAACTTATTGACGACAAACATTGCTGAGTCCATCAACAAAGTCATCTCAAGCTCGAGAACCTTGCCCATTGTAAAACTCTTGGATGCGTTACGGTTAATGATGACAAGATGGTTTGCAAATAGGAAGACTGCTGCGGGAACAATGAAGACAATCTTGACTCGTGGAGTGGAGAAATATTTGGAGGTAAAAATAACACAATTTTCTCTTTTAATTAGTTACTTGTTTTTATAGTCATTTTGTAATACTGTTTTTTCTTTTCTTAGAAACGTGTACAAAATGCCAAGATGCTTACAGTTCAAACTATCGATTTTCATCATTCACAAGTTACAAGTGGCTCGTCTCTGCATATCGTTAATTTAGCAGGAAGAAAATGTACTTGTCGTCGGTTTGATAAGGAGAAGTTACCTTGTGTTCATGCAATCGCGGCTGCAGAAGAATGTAAGCTTTGCAGCATATCACTTTGTCATCCATATTATCACAGCTCATACTTGTGGAACGCTTACTCCACTCCCATAATGCCAAGAGATGTTGCTTCACCGGTTCCAGAAAATATCACAACAAAGATTTGTCTACCTCCGGTTGTACACACACAACCTGGAAGACCAAAAAAATCAAGGATGAAATCGGCTTTGGAGAAAGCTTCTGAAAAAAAACGACCTAGAAAACAACATTTATGTTCAAGGTGCCATCAATCTGGACATAACAGTAAGACCTGCAAGGTTCAAGTTTAGCTTATGGTTAATTCTTTTCTATGCTTTCTAAATTTTTAGTTTGCTGAGAGTTACTTTGTTTCCATCACGTCTTCAGCTTGCTGAGAGTTACTGTATTTTCATCTCTTTTGGATTTGTAATCTTTGGTTTGCTGAGGTTGCAACGGCTTCTTCACATCATTATTATAAAAAAGCATAGGGTTGATATTAATCTGAATCTAAACATTACTAAGACTAACAAACTAAGACTTAAACATTACTTCTTAAGAAAGTGGAGAATATTAAACTCATCGTACACTGAAACACTAGACATTTACTTTGCTTTATTGGGAAATAAATCAGGGATCTGAGGTTCTCCAACGACATCATAAAGCTCAGCAGCAAGCTTCCGTCGAACATCTTGAATGATTTCATCACCTAACCCTTCAAATGTACAACCAATTGCCAAACATTAATTCGATGAACTTTATGGTGTATACACCACAGTCTCCAGGGTTGTCATTATGTGGAATGCTTTTGCTTTTCAACCTTCGTACAATGAACTGTTTATCACTCTTCTTCCGAACAGCAGTAGGGACCATAGCATTCAGGATAGCTGGAATCATCTTCGCAAACGGCTTGCAGCTTTTCCGCATTTCTTTATCATCTATCACGGTTAGAATGCTGTCATAAACACTGATCGTCTCCTTCCCCAAGTCTATGTTCAAAGAAACCCAGTGATTTTGGTTCATAAAATGACATGCGTAGAGATGGTCAATATCATGAAGCCACTTTTTGTTCGCGACTCGGTCAGCTGGATACGTGCCATTGTAAATTCCCTTATACATATCTGTCACTTTCCAGGTTTTTGGGTTGAACTCTTTAAAATCATTAACAATTTTGGTGACGACCCACTGATCCAAAAATACTAAGCACTGAGAATGGTACGGTGAAGGGTCAACAAGTGATATCCTATAGAACATGGTCATGGCAGACCACATATGCTGGAAAAAAAAACAGAAATTGAAACATATGTTAGCAAGCAGTCACACATAAAACATTAATTCAATCATAAAACATGAAGCAAGTACACTCAAGCAACAAGCACACCCGGTAAATGAATCTTAAAGAACACTAAACATGAGAAGTTACCATGTTAGTCAACCAGCCATAATCATGAGAAGACCAATGATTTCTTGGAGTTATAATCACTCTATAGAATTCAGTACTAGTAATGCAGCTTTTGTCCAAAGCATTCCTGCCAAAAAAATTAGATAGATTAGAACACGTAATACATAAGAGAATATTAATTATAAGAAAAATAGGAAGGTATACTCTTCATCCAGTAAAAAATGCAGTAACTTCCTCATTTTATCATCATCAACAGCAGCAAATGGATCATAAGCTGAGACAGACGGTGTTACACTTGGGATGATGCGTTTCATGGTAGAATTTCCTACGAACGGATATAGCTGAGACGATGCTAGCTTTATTTGGCGCTTGTGCTGGGGTGAGGAAGGTGTGGGAGATGTATACTTTTTCAACTTTCTTGCAAAGGTCGCAAATGCATCTAAACGATCATCGAGTTGTTTAGCCTTGTCACGCTGCATTGGATCAGACCATGTGTCTTCCCCTGATGAATTGTCAAGTAAATGTGGCACGTCAATTTTGTTTTTCAGCTTCTTTCCAGCCACTTCTTTAGCCACTTCTTTCATATCGTCAACCACATTGCCACTTTTTTTACTTGTCTTCTTCAGTTTCTTGACAACACGTTGAGTGGGCAATCCATCCTGCGAGGTGGAATTCAACTCCACTACCCAAGACTACAAAACAAAATATTAATAAAAACATGATTAACAATCATTTGAAACTAAAATAATAGACAAAGAAGAAACTTACCATTTCCTTGCTACTAACGTCAGCTTTTTCATTAGCATAACAATTAGCATCTACTTTTATATCATCACCACAATCTTTTTCTTTCATCTTTTGAAGCTCTTTCTCCACTGCTGCTAGCTTTTCATTCATAGGAGAAAGCATAGGAGCAAGCATAGGAGCAAGCATATGAGCAAGCATAGTACAAACCTTTGCTTCAATCGATGCATCCAAGTTATCAAGTTTTCCTGTCAACGTCTTCATCAAGCTGTAAAGTTGGCTCGTTTGAGTTTCTTCATTCTGCAACAAATCAAACAAATTAAATTATAATAAATCGTATTACACTATGTTTAAATAAATAAGTAGAAGAATAACTCACATTTGGCATATTATTGTCTTCCTCAACTCCAATGGTTTTTGTTTCAATACCCTTCTTCTTTTTAGAAACCTCAACATCAGTCTCTGGAACATCACGTTTCCTGTTTTTATTAGCTGGAGGTTCTTCCGTGACATCCCAAAATCCTTGATCTACACAATCATTTCTGATATCATCGACCAGGCTTGTTACATCTTCATCATCAACTTCATCATCCCACTGAGGCAGAAGCTCTCCTTCTGTTTGTGTAATAAAAGGCTTAACACGAACCTATAAAATAACTGTCTTTCATTATACTTTGAAACAGAAAAAACTATCAACAGAAAATATAAATGTTAAGAAATTAAACTTTATCATGATGTTCTTTCTATTTATTTAGGAAGTCCTCAAATTTGAATCTACGGGATCCACTCCATGAAAGAAGAGTCACTTCTGCACCACTGATTTTATTCCCGTAAAGCTCTCCTAAGCCCATTACTGACTCATATGCCCAAATCTGTAAGATGAATATGAATCCTCCCAATGTATAAGACTCCTGGGCACTGTAATCTGCACACTTAACATAGTATATCAAACTCTGACAAGCTAGCCGGCCCCATGGATATCTCTGGAAAGCTTCGTAATTAAGAACTCTCTTTGCACACTCCAACGGAATATGTCGTGAGGGATCAATGCCATAAACAGCAAGATGAAGAACACATAACAATCCCACCATTGTCCTCTTCTCGAGACTCCAATTTTTACATCTTTCCAATGCCGACTGAAGCTGAATCAAGTTAGGACCAACAGCTGGAGAAACTCCCATTTCTTTCCAAAATTCTGTATGATCAACATCACACATGTCGTCTTTTTGGAATGGTTCACAGTTCATCCCAGTGATCGCACCAAATTCAATCAAAGAGAGACGAATGGGTTGCCAATCAATCAATGACCATATCTCATAATTCTTCTGAACTTGAATCTGATGTGTTAGTAGGTGATGGACAAGCTTTGCACACCGTATGAATTTAAGCTCATAAAATCTAGGAAATATACCAATTGCAGACTTCTTTACCGCATCTCATCCATCACGTCCCACACCTTCTTCTACCATTTGAAAATTTGACAAATAACTATAATAGCTCATACTCCTCCGCTGACTAGGAGCTTTGCCTTTTTTTGTAGAGTAGTCGTGGATAGTTGCGCTTACTACTAAGAGAAGCCATATCTAGCAATAAGAAAAGGTTAGCAAGAAACGAATTAGAATAAAGATTTCATTTTCTGCATAAAATTATATACACAACTATGATAAATAACAAAGCAACCATTTATGTCTAAATCAAACAGATTGGTATTACACAGATAAGTAAAATCCACATAAGCAAACACTAAGTAAACAGAAGTTTCGGAAAGTATATGCAATGAAGCAACATAACAAGATGACATCTGAACAAACATAAAACAAGAAAATTTTCAATGCCTAAACAGAGGATTTAACTCAGCAAAGCATGTTATATATCAATGAAAAAAGGCTGAGGTAAGAAGTAAACAATGAAGAAACCAAAAAAGAAATCAAATATCAGGTGCTAAGAAGACAAAGAGGAAACCTCAGCCTTTTCGGTTCAGAAGACAAACAGAGAGAACGAGTAAACGATGGTGGTATGCCTGGACGGAGAGATCAACACTGGAGATGGGAACTCACTAATCGGAAAGCGAACAAAGATCGGAAACGTTGAGATACGAACATAGAGCACGAGTAAGTGATGGTGGTTTGCCTCGCCGGAGAGTTCGACGCCGGAGATGGGAGAACTCTAATCGGAATTCATTGGAGGAAGGAGCATTGTCTACTTTATCATTGTTGAATCAAATTGATTCAGTTGTTATTCATAGGAAGAAAATCGTGAAACCCTAATTTTTTTTTCTTTTAGGGAATTGCCTCTGTTCTGGTTTTAATGTTCTGATTTTTACGATATAAACAAGGAAGAAGAAACCCTTTTTTAATGTTTAGTAATTAAAATTAGATTTTAAATGGCAGTTTGGTAATATTTTGTGTTTCTTACCAAGGCTTTTTTGGTCAATGTATACATAAACTCTAATTCAACGGTAGCAGAGAGTTAAGTTAGTAATTGTCTAAAACATAAGAGTTAGTCTAGGTAATTTTCTCTAGAATTAATGGATTGTTAAAACATACCGAACTGAACGTTTCATGTTTGATATCGAACACGAACACCGATGTATGAAAGGAAGGTAAGAATGAAGATAGCCTAATTAGTGGTTTTATACGAGCCTTATAGCAGTCTAAGTTGCCATCTTTATAATCTTAGGAAATCATATATATAGAAATTTGATATCAATGTTTACTAAAGAGAATACTACATATCAAAATGAAAAACTTCTATTTGAAAAACATAATTTATTAACTTTTCTGGTTACAAAATAAGAAAGAATGTGCCAAACTAGAAATTTCCCGAACTGTAAGACAAATTGAGCGTCTTGATATGAACTTCTAAGACTGTCAGCGAGAGATGATGGATTAAGACTCTTAGAAACAGATTTGAGAAAATAAGTTGAGATAGAAGATGAAATTATCAATTCAAGGAAGAGTGTATGTGTAAGAATATCTTGGAAGACCTAGGTACAAAGAACGGACTGAATTGAGTCCGTTTAACCCTAATCCCCTATCAGAAAGACGATGAAAGATAAGAAATTGATTTTTTTACTGACAAATTAATTTTTGCTAATTAAACACCATGCAATATTTTTGTCTCATTCATTAGTATAGGCCCAATAAATTGTTGTATTATCTATAGCCCATAAAAAATATTTGACAAAAATAAGGCTTTCCATATGAAATAATGCACATCCAAAACTTTTTTGCTTACAATATTATAAGTAATAAATTTTTCTTTTTTACTTTAACGAACAGTATGCCTATAACTATACATAACCTATTACACATGTTTAAATTCAATAATTTGATTACACATGCACGTATATGTAAGTACATTATAATTTTCATATGGATATCTCAATGTTTAAATTCAATCATTTGATTACGCATGCACGTATATGTAAGTACATTATAATTTTCAAATTGATATCTCAATCCGCGCCCTGCACGGATCTCTACCTAGTTATCAATTAGAGAAATACATATTGACTATAAACTTTAATCAGTGCTGATACACATCTATTCGATGTCAATATCCTAACAGATTCTGCTTGTATTGAATACATTCCGTATCCTTTAGATATTATAAACTTAAAAATTACTAGATTTTAATCCGCACGAGTGACTTTTTTTTTTCAAATTGAATTAAGACAGTTGTAAACTATGTCGGTTGCGTATTTCGGTTTTGCATGGTTAAACAATAAAACTGATATCTTAGATAAGTATCTTGTAATTTGATAATTTTATACAAACCATACAATTTTTTTAGTGTTTTTGTTTGTAGAATATATTCACTTTTTTTTAACATATGATCTTTTTATTTTGTTAATAACGTACCTACAAAATAGTTAATGGCGTACAAAATAATTATATATGTTGTTAATAGTTATTAGATTAATAGGTTAAAATATTTTTGTATAAATCAGTTGGTAGATTTAGTTATATTTAATTTATTGGTCTTGAATACAAATGTTTTATTTTGTATAGTAAAAAAATTTGGAATTTTACTTAAAGATAGTATATTTTTGGTTTATTAAGTTATTAATAAGAAATATTTGTGATTATATTTATTATAAAAACTAAATGATAGGATAACTAAATGTGATGATTTTTTAGGAAATGATCTAATTTGAAAAAAATCACACATGAAAAACGTTGTGACTTCTGTTTTAATAGATAAGATGTATAAAATAATCACCAAAAAAATTCTTTCTAATAAACATCCATCTTTCCTTGATTTTGGTATTCTTGCTAATAATCAGCGACCCAATATGAGCTAAATTACCCGGAATTCTTAAAAACCAACAGTTTATATCTATACTAGGTGTTTGCCCGTAATTTATATATATATATATATATATATATATATATAGTGTTTGCCCGTAATTTATATATATATATATATATATATATATGTTTACAATGTTATAATTTTGAATAATAATTAGAAATTTTTAATTTTTCATTTTAATTTTTGATTTTTGATATTTAATTTCAACTAATAAATAAATTAAAAATTTCAGTATATATTTTAAGAAGATTTGTGAGATTTAAAATAGTTTCACAGCATAAAAATTAGTCATTAAAAATCTTTCTCTTACAGAAAAAAAATATTATAATTAATTCAGATAATTGGTTGTAAAATCATTTTATACTAGTATTATGGCCCATGCTATGCATGGGCAAAATAATTGTTAAAATTATTCATACAAAAAGGATTGTTTAAAGTGTATCATTATAATTTAATTTTAGTGGAATAAATTTGATTTTTAAGTAAAAGTGTTTTTAAAATTTATTGGTAATTCATATATATGGTAATATTGAAGTTCCATGAAAACTTGGAGATCAAACTAAAACCTGAAAACTTACAAAATTTATTATAATTGTATATAGAAGATCAAATACAGTAAAAAATTGCAAATTTTATAATGGATCTAACAATGTAAAATACCATATATGAGAATATGTATATGCTTTAGTTTGACACGTACTCCTGAATTGAAATAATAGATTTTATTAATAATATACTCAAATGCTTACAATATGATTTACCAAAAACATGCTTACAATATGGATATGTGAATGTCATTTACATCAAAATCATGCAAAAAATTATTTGATGAGTCATTCTCAAAAAACAAAAAAAATCATATTCAGTATTCTTGCACCCTCAACAATAATGATATAATGAATCTTCAGCAAATAATTTTAGATAACCATGGATCTTAAATTTAGCAAAGAAAAATATATTAAAAGTGATTACCTTATATGATTGTATCACCCAAACACCTTCTATGGTTGTATCACCCAAACACCTTCTATGGTTGTTTTACCCAAACGTTGATCAAAGAACACAGTCGAGAAGGGGAGGGAGTGTAGATATTTGATTGCGATAATAGTAAGACCTTGGAGATATCAGTATCTTTTATTGGCATTTTCTTCCGAAGGTTTCTTGCAACTCAGAGTTATCTTTTAGAAGGAAAACAATTGGAGATAGTGGAAGATTATTAAGACGAAATTGATAACGGTTTTGCTATACAATCTAAGTTAGTGGAAATAAAAATAATGGACGTGGTGAAACATAAAAGCAGTTGTATATTCAATTAGTTAAAGAAACTTG